TGAAATATCTCCGTGAGCACCTCTCTGGCTCCGGGTACCAGCTTCTCACCTGGTACGGAACGGAGGAGGGTGAAAGGGTTCTGCCGTGAACATGCCGTGGCGGGAAAAGCCTGCAGCACTTTATTTTTCATGAAGAATTTATTTTTGAAATTGTGTAACAGACATTTAGTAGCGACGATGGACAGTCTGCCAAAGCCTGGTTTCCTCTTTGGGGGCACACACCTCTGTGGCACACCCAGCATTCTTTGCAGTAAGGTATGGCCTTGTGACACGGGACATGAGCCACTCCTGGGCCAGCTCTCTTCTGCACTCATCCCCTCCACTGGCAGCATGGACATGACAAGCCCCCGGGGATGGCAGACCTCGGCGCTCACCCTGGACTCTTACACATACAGGAAATTAACTTCTATCGGCTTCGAGACACTGAACTCTTGGGCCTTTATTATGACAGTTTAACTTCTTGTAACAACACATTAGTGCTAGACAGTCCCAAAGGAACAAAAAGCTACAGAGCCTGCAAGTAGCTTTAGTGAAAAGTACGAGTTGTTAAACGGGTATTGCATTATTAGAAAACAGGTTTCAAAACTGACACACTGAGCAGGTGGAAAAATAGTTTTCTTAGATCCAAGAAAATTGTCCACAAGCAGGAGAAAAAAAGTACTTATTTTTTTGTCCCCAAACAAGTGTTGTAGAAGATGTCCCCACCTTTCCTAATGGGGCAATCAGGATGCGTCCCCATGCCTCTCAAGGCCATGGACCCCAGCTCAGAGCTGACTGGCCTTCCTTCCAGCCCTGCCCTCCTGAACCTGTCTCTCTGGAGGTCTGACGCACCAGGGCCACGCCCAGGTGAGGCCTGGGATGGGAAACATAGCACAAAGGCCTCGCAGGCACGGGGAGGACAAGCGCGCCAGAGAGAGAGGTGGCCAAGCCCTAAGAGCTGACTCAGCAGAACCACAACTTGAAGAATCTCGAGCAAAATGTGTGTGGCAGGAATGTGGCAAACATGTTACCGAAAGATGGAATATCTTATGTAGGAGGTTTGACTCTAACAGAATCAGGAACTGGAACTAAATTCAAAGTATGGTAAGACCGGGGAAGCACTGACTGTGGCAGGAAAAGATTTTAGGTTTCCCGCCGGTCTCAGACTAGTCACCCCAGGTGGGCAGCTGAGAGCTGATGGGGCAAATACACACTAACCCGGGAACAGGGCCGAGAGCAGGGCGAGAGGAGCGAGGCAGGCCCCTCGGGCTCAAGACTGCCCAAACCTCAGCGACAGGGCACAGAGTTTAATGCAGTATTAAAACAAATCAAAATTAATACAAAACAATCCACGTTGAGCAAAATAACACTGCTGTGCCGATACAAGAGGAAAAATCAGTAATAATGATTTTATTATTTAAAATTTTAATATTTTGTTCACCATGGATATTCTGCATTAATTTTGGTTTTTATAAATACTGCCCCAAAATATTATTTATCTAGAACACTGAGTTTCCGGAGTCCCATTAAATCATGTGCCCACGGCTTCACTTACCTCACCCTGGCTCCAGCACTGAGGAAACATTTCAAAATGTCATGGTCAGGGGATAAAAATTTGAAAGAACGACAAATAATAGAACTTATACTCAACATTTTTGTACTTGGAAAACATAAAAGAAAATAAACTCAACAACTCTATTATGAAATTTCAAACAATATCAAAGATTTAGAAAAAGGACTTAGATTAACAATTGAGAAAGACTAGTACATAATAAAAATGAGAACACAAAGAACTGTAATTATAAAAAGAAAAAGGAAAAATTGCTGCTGCTTCTGCTGTGAAGCTTGGGGCGAGTGGCAGGCTTCCAGTGGGGGAGGGGGGCAGTTTTGCTAGATCAGCTCTGTGAGGCCTCGGTAGAGCCCGGGTCCTGGATGAAAACTCAGCATCGTAACAGAAGATGTGGGGAAGCCAGGCAGGTCCACTCACATAAGAGCCCCAGAACGACAAAGTGGGACTCTGTGAAAAAGGAGCCGGAACTATTTCTTCTCTAAGAGTTAGTGTTAAAAGGTGAAGCATTCAAGCATATGACCAAATGATTACTAGCAATGGACTTGGTACATTCTAGCTCCATAGACAGAACAAAATTAATACACTTGAACTTGAACAAGGCGAAGCTTGGTTAGACAAAAAGGAAAATATGACTTAAATGCCTGCGCACATTCGAGTCTGAAGCAGGCTGTGGCAGAGCCATTCCTGGTGGTCCCTTGGCTAGCTGGCCTATGGTGGCCTGTGACGGGCTGCTCTGATGGCCTTCTGAGCCCTGACAGCTGGGAGAGAGAAGGAATGTTCTCGCTACATCACATGAGATGTATGCAACGCACCTTCTGTGAGCCATGCAATGAACTTCTTGTCACATCTCCCCAAGCCCGGAACCATTTCTTTCTCAAATGTGCAACCCCAGGAGTGCTCCCAAAGTTCTTTTACGTCAAGAATAGGGGAAATTGGGCACGGAGGGGGAAATGATTTTCATTCCATTTTTTCTATAAATGTAAAACCACTCAAAAAAGAGGTCTATTACTTTAAAAAACCCATGACTCACCTTTAATTGACTTATCATTGAAGTAATCTTCTAGCCCTGGGCTCCCCTGAGTGTCGAACAGACTCTGATTTACTACGGACACAGTGAGAATCTCTTCCGTGGACATTTCCATCAACTCGTCTTCCCCATCCAAACTCGACAAACCGATCAAGTCGTTATTGTTAAATAAACTTGCTCGAATTTTCTCGATTTTGGCTCGGGATCTGATCTGTGTGAACAGAGAAAAGGGTAGGGACTGGGGTGCAGAGCGACCACCCCTTCGACAGGAATGGCCTTTGCTGCCTGCCGTCCCCTGGGACCCTCGCCTCACGCGGGAGAGCGGGCCTGCGGTAAAGTGTCCCCTGCTACCAACAGTTGTAACCTTTAGGCAACAACTCAACTAGAAATGGCCGGGTCTGTGACTTTATTCGGTAGCTCAGCGGGCTGAAGTCCGTGCCAGCCTCCGAGAACGTCCCCAGGAAGAAGGTGGCTAGCTAAAGAAGCGATTCCAGGGAGGAGGCCAACCACCGGACCCTTGAGCCCCCGTTTCGGGGAGAGAGCAAGGCGGTGCGAGCGTTTCCCAGTGTCACTGCTCCACACCCGAAGAGGGGGGACAGTTTTCACTCTGAGCCCGACTCCCATCCCACAAGGGCACACGGAGACACGGGATGCAGGATTTCTAAACAAGGAGGCCCAAGGAACAGACGGGACCCTAAAGCGGGAACGTGACCTGGCTATGTGCACATCGTCTGAAACTCACAATCACCTGGGAGAGAACGGCATGAGCCTGTCCTCAGTGCTCAGTGACGATCCCTCCTGTGATGGCAACGTTTACATCCCCAGGCCCCTCAGAAGGATACCGGTGGGTAGGGCTGAGTCAGAACGCACTTGACAGAGCCCCTCTGTCAGGGAAGGTCAGCCCCTCCAGCCCCTCCAGCCCCTCCAGCCCCTCCAGCCCCTCCGCCTTCCTCCTGCACTCAGCAGCAAACTGCATTCACTTCCTGACACCAGACCCGACAGTGCTTAGAGCTGGGACCTCAGACACAGTGAACCAGCGTAACAAATCATTACCGGTTCCGAGAGCTGCCTCAAGGAGGCCCCTAAGTGCCCAGTGTCAACTATTAGGTAATGGCTCGCAAATAACACTGGACGGCTTAAAGAGGGTTGGGGGATCCACACTGCTCCCGACTGCAGTGCTGGCCAAGGCGTGGGCACCGTTACCTCCACGACCGCGAAGCCTTTGATGGGGCGCGAGGCAAGGGGCTGGTTGTCCAGGGACGTGACCGTGTACAGGGAGCCCACGTCGGACACCGAGGCCATCTCTGTGTTGTCCAGCGGCTCCCCCAGGCTCCCCAGGCTGCCCAGGCTACCGGTGCTACACAGAGAGATGTCCAGGCTCTCCTGGCTGGACACCACGTGGGGCTCTAGCAAGCCAGGAGGGATGGGCAGCTCGAGGCCTGAGGGCAGCGGGTCCACAGAGAGGTCGCTGACTGTCTGCGAGATGCCCTGGGAGCTGCAAATGGAGGCCTGACTGGTGGAGGCCGAGGCGCTGATGCTCATGGCAGGCGTCAGGCTGCTGGACGTGCTGACCTCCAAGCTGTCCGTGCTCGGAAAGCCGGGGCTCTTCTCCGGCTCGGCTTTCCCATCACTACCCTCGGCCTTGTCTTTTGGCTTCTTGGGGTCTTCGTCCTGCAGGGGAATGTAGATCTCGTCTTTGAAGACCCCGCCGTGGGCATTGCAGGCCTTGCGGATGGCGCCTCTGACGATGCCCTCGTCCAGGTGGGTGGGGATTCCAGAGATCACCAGCAAGCGGCTGTGGGCGGTGGGGCCTACCAGGGCCTGGCAGGCGTCGGCGATGGCGTCGCTCGTCACGCCCAGCCCCTGCGGGTCCTTCCTGGTGAGGTGCCGGAGAATGATGAGCAAGGTGAGGGCTCGATGGAACCACAGCATGTCCTCAGGCTTGCTGCCCCCGATGCTGAGCACGGCGGGGTCTGAGTCCACGGAGCGGGAGGACTGGCGCTTCCCGGAGGAGGAGGCCTTTTCTCGCTTCATCTTCACTTTCTTCCTTTTGGACAGGAGGCTAGGGCTCTGCGGTGTCTGTCCTGGGGACGACGAGGAGGAGGAGGAGGAGTCACTGAGGTTCGGGGCGGTCGTTGAGGTCACCCCGCTGGCTGTGACACTCATGTTGGTAGGCAGGGTCACTTCGGCCACCGCCAGGCAGCCTTCCATGAGTGCATGAAAGTAGGTAGAGAACCTGCCCTGGTCGGTGGCCGCCGCTGTCCCTGAGCCTCCGCAGCTGCTGCCTGAGACCCAGCTCTGGGTCTCCTCGTCGTACAGCTTATGCAGCTCTGACTGCAGGGCCATGAGCATGGCCAGACAGGGGTTCAGCTGGAGGGCGATGGACGAGGACAGGCCAGCGGGGCGCTTCCTCTGCTCCAGGGCCTGCGCTGTGCGCAGCAGCTCTGCCAGGAGATGGAAGACGAGCTCCTTCACACAGGCCGCCGTGTCCGTGGTCCACAGGAAGTTTCCTGAGGCAAACAGAAAGCAGCGAGAGCAGCAATCACCGTACAGCTCTTAGTACGTTCCAGGCACTGCTCCAAGCACTTTAGTGGGGCCCATCCTCACAGCAACCCTGTGGGACAGATGTCACATTATTTATCCCCACCTCACAGATGAGGAAGCAGGCTCAAATGGTTGAAGGATTTGCCCAAGGTCACGGCGACCAGGAGGTGGCCTGGCAGGCTGGCTCGAGAGCCTATGGCCTTCACCCCTGTGGCACATGATCGCATGGAGCTGGCGTCTGTAGCTGAGGCCAAAAACATCAATATTTTCTTTCTCATGAGGTTATCAAAGTTAGTTGCTGACAAGTCACTAGAACCATGTTTCCGGAACCAAGGGACGCTTACTGCTGGGGGCATACAATCCAATTTTACCAGACAGCACAGAAACACACACTGAAAAACTATTCCTTTCAAAATGCTTTTTTAAGTGCTCGTTTTGTCAATGAAACAGCCTTACTGTGGGGCTGGTACTTTCTTAACAGAGATGGGCCAAGACTCAGAGCCTCTGACAGGCAACAGGACTTAGCCAGAATTTCCTAACAGTAACTACCTTTCTGTTTTTATAATTATCTTCTACTTATGTATGGCAAGGAATACTTATTTCCCATTTAAAGTAACAATATGAAATTTTCTTTAAAATTTAGGTTTGAAAAATATGGAGAAAGGAATTGATTGTCATGACAGCAATTAAATAAATAAATGCTGATAGACATGGCAGAAATGACATAAAGGTGGCAGAGGAATGACTGGAGGTTGGGAAATGCTGTCTAGAACAGGAAGGACCACATATTTGTGCTGAAGTCCCTTCACGCCAGATGTGTATCTTACGTTCACGCAGGCGTGTTACAGACAGGGAGCCCCCAGGGCCGGCCCGGCTGAAGCACCAGCCTGATCTCTGCTCAAGCCCAGCACCCATGGAGGCGGGGCTCGCGCCTCCTGCTCTCTTGGGGCAATGCTGTTTGCTAATTCGAACTGGAAAGAAGCGGAGGCTGTCATGAGATGCGGGCCTCATTGAGCCATTCACAGAGGACAAGTGCCAATGGGGTCCCAGGTTTGTCCCTCAGACGCTGTGTTTCCTCCTCCACTGTCCTTCCTCTGCCATTTGACACTGATGTAAGAAGAAGGCCTTGGAGAGAATTCTTCACTAAAATTGCAAATGGCGGCCCACGAGCTGAGACTGGCCACAGACATCTTGTTCCCAGAGACAGTGGTTCCCTGCTCACCACCCTCCGCGTCCCCCGCCATCCCCATGTGTTTTAAAGAATTTGAATTAGTTGGGAAATAAATATCAATCTCTGGATTTCTGGCTTTTCTTGAAGTAAAAAGTAGTAATACTTGGCAGGACTGGAGCCACGTCCTCATGCAACCCTGAGCAGCGGGGCTCAGTGGCTGCCTGACAGGGCACCTACCCTTCAGTTCGCCAAACTCCCCCAGCCTGCTTTCCTCCTTTATTTCCCTCACTTACATCATCTGCCTGACCCCAGAGGGCGTCTGAGTTTGCAACACTTTCCCCCTTCCAATATATTATAAAAACATTCAAAAATATAGAAAAATGGAAATACTTACACAGCGAACACCTTTTTGCCCATCACCTGGATTCCACCATTAATATTTTGCTGTATTTGCTTTATTATATACAGCTACCTATCCCTCCACTCACCCATAAACTCATCTTAGCTTTTGATTATTTCAAAATAACTTGCAAACATCAGTACGTTTCATCTCTAAACACATAAGCAGAGATATCATTAAAGTTCAATATTTATTTAGAAAATTTTTTGACGGAAATTAACGTATGGTAAATATACAACTCTGAAGCTGACCATTCCATGAGTTTTGCCAAAACCCATTTTTAACTTTGCAGGAGCGATGACGTCATAACATTTGATTTTGCAACATCATTCACTTCCATACCATCTTTAACCTTCAAAGTTTCAATATGGCATATATTTCTGTTTTAAAGTAAAGTGTGATAAAAATCGATCTTATTTTCATGGTTAGTTGCCGTTCCTAAAAATAATGGAAATACCCCGCAAACCACAGATGTGGAGGCCTAGGCTGCACCTTCCCCTCAACGCCCCCAGCCTCCTTCCAATGGCAGCAACCTGACAGGAGGCCGTGGCTGCTGGGCCACTCCCTGGCCCGCCTGGCGAGCTCCTCCCTCACACCCGAGACAGCTCGCCAGCTCGCCCAGGGCCCCGCTCCCGCTCCCGAGGGCGTGAGCCTCACCCAGCAGCTCCACCACTAGCAGGAGGACAGACGCCGGGACGGTGTCGGGCTCGTCCTCCGATCTCCCTTCGCCATCCTCTGACTTCCAGGACAGCAGCTGCTCGGCGAAGGCCACGGCCAGTGGGAACTCCAGAGGCAGGGAATGCAGCACCAGCACGGCTCCGGGAGGTGGCGACACGCCTAAAAGAGCCCAGGAGGAAAGCTGTGCTTGGCAGCACCTGACCGAAACAGGCCCGAGGAAAAGGTCTGCCCCGTGTGTGTGCAGAAACAGCCGGAAAGGCTGCCGCGCGTCTGCTGGAGGCGAGGGGACTCGTCACTCCAGACAGAGTCAGCGGCAGGTGCAGATGGAGCCAAGGGACATCCCTTCAAGGAGTCCACTTATCGGTGTGACACTGGGACGAAGGGCAGCAATGGGAAGAGGGAAAGATGAACATTGCTCAGTCAGTCAGATACCAACGAGCCTGATGACCCGGCATGGAAACTGTTAAGTCAGACTTTCAAAGATGCTTCACTGGAACAGTCCCAGCTCGGTAAAGAAATAACTGGCCCTTTGGTGTGGCTGCGATCCCGCACTGAGCTTCCATCAGGCTTACAGAGGGGACGGCAGGGAGTCCTGAAGACTAGGCACTACCAAGACCTCAGGCCTTGATTCTCTTTTATTACCTTCTGTCATTGCCATGGTCTGAAACTGACCCTGAGACCTGGTCGCCCTCACATCCTGCACTGACCCCAACCCCACTGCAAGCACCGGTCAGACATAAACCAGGCTTCAGGGGTCAAGTCGGGGGGAACCACTGCTGACTGGTCTGTACTCTGGGGTGAACGTTTACATGCTGGTAACTGGGGAATGATAGGTAAGACAGAGATTTTCCGTGTTTAATACAGAGTTTCGAAAACAGCTAGTATAGGCAAAATACGAAAAAATGGACCCCAATAAAAAGAGATGATCAAGTTGTTTAGTAATAACCAAATCATTTCAGAAATGTCCAATCATCTCATTCCCTAAAGATGTAATGTCTCTTGGACTGGGCCCACGGAGAAGCCAAGACCCATGTATCTTACAATTGCCTTTAGCAACTGTGTCTGTCTTTTCTTGTTGAATGTACCCAGGGATTCTAAGACAAGGTTTTCTTCTCCTCTGCGTGTTTACTTAGCCAGCTGGTGCGGTACCTGAAGCGGACAGTCAGCAACAGCTTCACGATTTAGAAATGGAGTCCTGATCTAAACTAAGTCCATGGAGGTTTAACAAAAGATGCCAGAGAGACGAGACCATCCAGGCTTCCTGGCCTGGCCTCAGGGCTGTTTACCACTTAGATAGGGGAGATAGGCTCATGGGAGGCCCACGCCCCAGGGAGCCGCATCACACCCGAGAAGCTGGTTTTAATGAGGACTTGAGGAAAGGCAGCTTGGATTATCAGCACTAAATGACGAGACTGCTCTGTTCGGGTCAACCTAAATTGCAGGTGTCCCCACACACACTGTGGAAGGACAAGAAATCCCCACTGGGGTCTGGGAAGCACCTGCCAGGCCTCATCTAGGCAGGACACAAGCTCTTTTCATCCACTTCGTCTAAAATCCGCCGCCCCAAGCAGCCCCATTCTTTACCCATAGGAAATTGGACCACAGCAAGGTACAAGGTACAAAACCCTTTCTACTGTTGAAAAGAAGGAAAGCAAAGGATGACTTCGAGCTGTTCTTATTACCATGAGCTAATCAGGATTTACCCAGTTTGATGTGGACCTTGTCTGTGGAGAGGATCACGGAAGGGTACTGGTTGGTGGTGGGAGGCGGCGTGAGCCCGGTGTTGGCCGGAGACGCGTCCCGCGGGTAGCAGACGGCCTCGATGAGGTTTAGCTGGCCATTCCGCTTCACTTTGTGGCCGAGCCCGTACACGAGCACTCGTGCCCATGGCGCCTTGTACAGGGAGGAGCTGAGGAGGAGGGACGGGTGTGAGGAGAGTCCACCACGATCGCCAGGGGGAGTCAACAGATGCTTCGTCAGGAGGCGGGTGAGAACTGGGCGTGCCTAAGTCACCCCCACCACATTTCTGAAGGTCATTCTTTACAAAGACTGATTTCCAAAATAGGGAGATACGGGAAGAATTGTAAATTATTTTCAAATATAGTAAGCATTAAAGAAAAAAAAAAATTTGAGTTTTTCTTCCGTCAGTTTCACCAGAATCCACTTTGCTTTTCTCTCCCAACACCACCCTCTGGGCGACTTACTCTTTGCGAAATCCAGACTGACTTTCTTTGCAAGACACAACGACGAAAGCCGCCCCAGGGAAGTTAACGTCCAGGTTGACCTTGGACTCGGAAATGGGAAACTCTTCGGAGGGGAACTGCTCTGGTGCTGTCTGCAGAGACATGAACAGGGAAAGCCACAGGCTCAGCTCAGCAACACCACCACCCTCTGGGCGACTTACTCTTTGCGAAATCCAGACTGACTTTCTTTGCAAGACACAACGACGAAAGCCGCCCCAGGGAAGTTAACGTCCAGGTTGACCTTGGACTCGGAAATGGGAAACTCTTCGGAGGGGAACTGCTCTGGTGCTGTCTGCAGAGACATGAACAGGGAACGCCACAGGCTCAGCTCAGGGGCGCACTTCACCTTCCCAGATCCCGGTCAAGGACATAGCCGAGGCACACGCTGTCAGGGCTGGGGGGACAAGAAAGCGCTCCGGAGGAAGGACAGTATGATGGGACAGGGCAGAAGAGCATCGCAAAGGAGACCAATGCAGAGGAAGAAAGACTGTCATTTTTAGCAAGCCCGAAAGCCACCTGATTGAAAACTGGATTCCCAGTTGAGGGCCACTCGGGCTCCAGCCTTTTACCTGCAGGAAAGAGCAGATCTGCTTCGTCAGCTCCAGAAGGCTCTCCTCGCCCTGGTGCAGTGTCCGTGTGATGGCCACACCGAGCCACTCTCTCAGTGTCCGGGAGCCGCCCTGGTAGAAGAGGTCTGTGGCCGAGCAGGTCTGGGAACGGACGCAGTGCTGCAGGGACTGCGCCAGCAGGATGGAGCTGGAGCTGATGGTGCCGTCTGGGGACAGGAAGGGACCCTAAGTTAACAGAACCACAGCGGCTAAGGGCGGAGGGAGCCGAAGTCACTGTGAACAGACTGTCCGGACGACCCGGAGGGCCTAGCTTGGACATAATGTCTGGGATAATGTCTGGGATAAGAGTCAGATGCCAGGCTGGGAGGGATTCGGGGGATCAGTGGTCTTGGAATTTTGTTTTCTTTTAAGCAGCCAAACTATTTCCTAAAATAAAACCTTATGGAAGCCGAAGCAGAAGTGGAGCTGCTTGGATTCAGGGTTCCCAGAGCCCGATCTACTGGATGGCCCTGGCCTGCCCCGAGCCGCACGGAGGCACACCCAGGGTGGCTGAGTGGGAAAAGGTGTCAGGTCACTGTGGCAAAGCTGCTTCCACAAGCTCTTCGAGGCTTTCCGGATGTGCATTGGCATCTCGAAGTCCTTCGGTGAGCGAGGGAACCTCAGGCACTGAGCTGGGTCAGTGGAGGCGCGGCTCACACATACGCACTGGCTGGGACACCAGAGCTGCGAGGTGTCCGCTAAGCTTAGAATGCCACCTCCCTTCTCACCTCTTGCTCCCATCCTAGCTGCTAGGAGGTCAAGGGGAGCAGGCTGGAGGCCGAGGTGCCAGAGGAAGATAGAGGGGGCCTTCAGTCCTGAACTGGCTAAGTGGCTTCACCACTTAGTACTCACCGGGGGAGCAAACACAGCACTTGCCCTCGCCCCACAGCCCCGAGGTCAGCAGATACAAGCTGGCCCGTTAAACAGCTCAGGGAGTCGCGATGTGTCACTCAGGAGGGCTTGGCAACAGGGACACAATCCCCTTCTTGACAGCGCCAAGTGGAGCGTCTGAGGCAACGGTGCAGTGGCTAGCCTTCATGAACAGCACTTAACTTTCCTTGATCCACAATTAGTTTCGGAAGCTCAATGAATGCTTAGTAGACTGATGACTAGAGGGAGTGTTAACGCTTAGATTTTTCAGAGTGAGAAGCAGTGTCAAGACCACCGTGGCTCTTCGGCGCGGTTTATCTCTGCTACCTAAAGGCGCTGTGCTTGAACCCTCCACGTGGATGGTGTGGACGGCGGCGTTGTGGCGACAACACTAAGCGCCACCCCCGCTGGGGGCCTGACTCACTCTTGGGTCTGTTCCTCCCAAGCCTTACCTGGGAGGGGCGGTGCGAGCAGCTGATTGGACAGCAGCTGTAGGTGCTCCAGGGTGATGTCCCGGATGGCAGGGATGTGGAAGAGGCGGGTAAACAAGTGAGGCAGCTTGGGGGCGAAGATATTCAGCAGAGCCATGCGGCAGTACAGCCTGGCCAGCGCGGCCTCACATCGCAGCAGCTCTCTGCAAGGGAGAAGGCAGGGGGACCGCTGAGCACCTACGCCCCGGCCCAGCCCCAGCCCAGCTCCGACCGGTGCACTGGGCCAGCTGCAGGCCTCCGAAGGGCAAGGACATGCCTCGGGCTTCTCCTCTGGCCCCGTGTTCTGCACTCCAAGCTAGTCACCTCTGTTTTAAGTAAAAAGCCACATTTAGTTATGTTTGGATTTTCTCAACTCAAAAAGCCACCGTGGAAAAGAAAATCCATGTTCGAAAACTTGTGTATGTATGTTCACAGCAGCATTATTCCTAGCCGGAATGTGCAGACAACCCAAATGTCCATCAGCTGAGGACCAGTAACTCTATACAATGTCCCCTCATTCAGCGGTAAAGAGGAACGAGGTACTGACACGTGCCGCGACGTGGACAAAACCTGAAGACGTGATGCTGAGCGAAAGGAGCCAGACGCGAGGGCCACGCGTTCTACGGTTCTGTTCATACAGACTGTCCAGAATTAAGCAAACCCACAGAAACAGGAAATAGGCTGGCGGCTGAGTTAGGGGACAGCAGGATAGAAACTAATAATGGGGATGGAGTTTCTTCTTGGGGAGATGAAAATGTTCTACAATTGATGGTGGTGATGGCTGCAAACTGTGAATATACTAGAAACCACTGACTTGTAAACTTTAAACAGGTGAATTGTATGACACGTGACATATCTAGATAAAGCTATTGTAAAAAATTCACTGTGGGCATTTTTAATGTGATGAATTTATGAACTAACTGGCATTCACCTTGACTAAGCAGGTCTCATTTGGAATTTACATCTCTTGGTGAGGAATCTGATCTAGCTAATACCAAGCACAGGGAAGGCTCCCTGTATTTTATTAGCTAATCACCATAATTAAAAATCTTCTGGTATTGAGTATTTAACTAAAAAAGTGAGAAGCAGCCCTATTGTTTCTATAAAGCCTCGGCATAAAACCCACTCGGAGCCAACAGAGGTTGCTCGATATTGCCTGTGACCCAAATTAAGTTTAATGCTAGTCTATGATGAATCACATTTGGGTGTAATGGCAATTAAAGGAACAACCCAATATGTAACCGTTGGGAGTGTGTATAGCTATGACGATAAAAAATAGAGAAGATGCTGCATTTGGGGTGGTTTCCTTCTCACCTCTACCAGTCTGTAATGTTCTTGTGCCAGATACTAAAACAGATCGACTCCACCTGTGTCCTCCCTCCTCGGAAGTCCATCCTTGACGACACATGCACAGCTCATGGCATCGGGGCAGCAAAACAGACGAGGTCTGAATATGAAAGCTGAAGGCTCTTACAGACTCCCCACAGCCTTCTCCTCAGATTTCACAGGCTGAAGTTGCCAGGACAAAGCTGGAATGAGATGATTCTGGATTCCCTGGCAGCCCTGCTTCACCCTGTCGCTAATGAGCTCCCCACCCCTTTGTTTTTTAAAGTTCTTTCTCAAACTCATGTTAGTGCTTTAGACAAAGTATACCTGTGATGAAAATCCATACTAGCACCAGAAATTACTAATCAATCAAAACTGTATGGCACATTTCACATTTCTCCCAATACCAAGGTCACCGCATTGATACCGAGAACAAACATCCTACACCTGTAGTCTGACTTAACCCTACGAAGCACATTCTCGCCTTTTCTCCCAGTTGCTAGTCAGTAGTCAGCAGGTTTCATCTATGTGAGACATTTGCTAAAAATATAACTGACTTAATCAAAGTCAATAAAGCTTTATAACCTTCAACATTATCGCATTTGAGGATCCTTTTCGACAATTATTTTGAGTCTGTAATGTGAGCACTAGGGGCTCTGGCAGAGAATCAAAGTCTCTGCTTTCAGGAAGCTTACATTCTAGAGGGAGGAGACCACAATAAATTTTTTAAAAAATAAGCAAAAATATCAGGTCCTGGAAGAGAAGTAAAATAGTGTTATGACAACATGTGACTGCATGCCGACTTTAGATAGTAAGGCAAGGCCTTTTGGAAAGATGATATATCCACTGAGATCTGATGATAAGATTGAGCAAAGTCCTGGGCAAAGCATTCCAGGCAGAGGGAACAGCATACACAGAGATGCTGAGGAAGCAGTGAGCTCAGTGTGTGAGAGGAACCGAAAGGCCAGCGCTGCCGAAGGGGAGTATGCTGGAGAAAGAGGCTCAGGCCCACCCGGGGTTTCGTGAGCCAGGTTAAGGGTTTGACTCTACACCAAGGGAAATGAAAAGCCAAGGGAAGGCTTGACTTAGAGAAAAAAGGTGAAGGATCTGATTTGTTTCTAAAAGCTCACCTTGGCTGTTGTGGGGAGAAGAGAGCGCTGAGGCCTAGACTAGTGGGGTGGTGGCAGAAATGCACATATAGAGTGGGGACATATTCTGGAGGAAGAGTCAACAGGACTCGCTGAAAGGTCGCATGAGATAGTGAGGAAAAAGGATGACTCGCGGCCCCCTTACAGATATTGAAAGACCAGTGAAGGAGGCGTTTGGGAGAAAAATCCAGATTCTGCCTCACAGGCTACATTTTAGGTGCCTATGAGATTATCTCTGAGCAAAGGGCCAACAAAACTCCTTCCCTGTCTACTTAACAATTGACCTTGGTTAACATGTTTTTAGCTTCGTTCTGAAAACCTGGCAAAAGCAGAATATCAGCAATACCACCAGGCACACTGCTTATGGTCAAAGTGACTCCCAGTTGGTAAGCTGTATCTGTATTGGGAGGCCCAAAAGAATGTTCTCGGTGAGTTGCGGCTTCAAAGCTTCCTGGGGTATGGAGACTCTTGTTGGAATGCCTAGAGACTGTGCCCGTGGAACTGTTACAAAAGACAATGGCTTCTACTTGGGACATGGGACTGCTCAGCCTCCACGTGAACACTACCATGTGAAGTCCGTCCCTCACACACCTGGGTTGTCACTTGTTTGGGTGGGGTCAGGGACCAGCCCCAGAACTGCTGGATGACTGTGATGACTCCTACTGAAGACACACACAAGCATGACACTGCCCTGTAGTGTGCCATGCTTGCTATCCGGTGTCTTTCTAAGTGACGCCAGTGCCAAGTGTGGCCTATTTTGGTCTTGTAAATTTGATTTTTACGCTGAATTTCAGACCATCCAAATGGGGTGATTCGTATATCAGAATGGAGATGGCACAGAGTCAGCTGAATTCGTGCATCTGGAGTTCCAGTGAGAGGTCTAAGCTGGAGAGTCACTCAAGTTGATTCAAAATTAACAACACAATGAGAAACGGTGATGCTAATGGACGACTAGCGTGAGAAATAGTTTATGGAAACTTTTATCAGAGAACTCCATTTACTATTGTATTTTCCTCTGAATTGTTGCCAAAATTTTTAAGACCAAAAGAAGTAATTCACAGGTACATGTGAGGGAATTTTGCCTGATCTCTGGGTTTTAAGCCAGGAGCAGGCGCATGTCCCCTTAGACTCCCGGCACAGCGCTCACAGGACCGGCCTGGAGGAACGCTACGTCGGTGTGACAGATACAGGCCGCTGTGCACAGTGCTGGGCATCCTCTGACTGAGCTCTTCCTGACTTGCTCTACTCTTCATAACTTAAAACACTCTCCAAATCTCCAGCCACCCCGCAAGCCCTCCAGCTCACAGCACAGCACACAGGGTACTGAATCCTGCACCTTTTCTTCCCAGCTTCTGCGATTTTGCTGTTACCTTTACTAGCTCCTTCTAACACTTAGCTTCGAAGGGAAATCCTTCTTGTCAACAGTGACTGGCACGTGTGGTAAAACAGTGAGTGGATTTCTGTGACGCGCTAGAAAGAAGGGATCAATTTTACCTGTGAATTTGGAGGTTAGTATTGTCCAGTGTGACCAGCCCATTGGTGGCAGTCCTTCGGTAGCCAGCCGGGGGCCTTTCCAACATGTCGATAGGATACCAGTATCGGACCAGCACACCTTCACTTCGGAGGTACGTTTCTACCTGCACCAACTCATTTACCTGCAATCACAAAAGGAAATGTCTACTTATTTTTTTGAGCACTGACTTTCCCCACCCAAGTTTTAAAAAACATATATTATTTATAAAAAACCAAAGTTTTATAGCAGCATGCCACTGGTCGAGTACTGTATTGATAGCATGTTTAGCTTTTTCATACTAGTTGACAAATTTTAACTGGTACAGTAAATTAAGAACTTCGATGTAATCATGAGTTAGAAATTTTAAAAGAATAATGCTATACTTTAGTAACAGTTCAACACATATTGTTGGCAGGTAAAATTTATGTTCATTGTTTCTGTGTTATTTTTATAAAAGTAGGGAATGTGTCTGACAGCTCTATTTTATCGCTGGAAAAATAATAATTAAGCTCATGCATGTGCATTCTGGATTCAAACAGCAACATAATTTTTATTTAATGGTTATTATTAAAACAAAGGGGGTCAAACTACTTGAAAAATAAGTTATTACTTCAACATAATTTCTATTTTTCTAATTTTTACTTTCACACATTTCCATTGCTGATAACTAGAATCAGAGTTTGTACCAAAAGGTAGCGGGAGATCAACGGCATTACTGACAGAATTTTCAAACTGAAGGTTCACCTTAGTCAATCACCAGTCAATAGCCTCTCTTAAAAATTTAATGATATAAATTAAGTTCTGGTAAACTGGAGTCAGTTGAAGATGGAAAACTTGCAATTTCAAATCATTAGTGGTACCTAACATTATCTGTATCTCTAGATAGATACCAAGGCTTATCTATGTGGTGACAGATATCTGTTTATCAGAGACTTTTAGATGTGAATTGTATTATTTCATCAGTTTTTCTTGCACAGGAAACCTCTTAAATGCAAGCATGTGTATGCCACCTGAAGATCGTGCAGTCACAGCTTTCAGACAGGACCCCATTTTCAAAAGAAAGCCTGAGCTTTGCCCTCAACTGCTTCTGTGTTCCTTTCTCCGCTGCCCCCGCCCCTGATCCTAGCTGAACGCCATGAGAAGGCCCTGCAAAACAGAGACGAAAACTACGATCTAGTTTATTAATACACTCATTTTACATGTAGGGCAATTGAAGCTGAGAGAACTAATGAGATGATGTGATCAAAATCACAAAACTATTACTTTGATTTATGTCAGTAACAACCATGACAATGGCAGATCATCCATTCATCAAGGACAATGAGAGAATTTTCCTTTGAAACTTGGGTAGATCTAATGCAGGGGCAGTTTGAACACGGCTCACAGAAAGAATGACAGAGGCGGCATGGTCTGAAGGAACTGACGGCACCGAGAGTTAAGAGTTTATAATCCATCAGCCCTGATCTGGGCTCGTCTCAGGCGGATCATCTGGTATGACTGCACTTAGCTTGGTTTCTTCACCCCTAATCTGAAGAGTAATCCATCTGTATAATCACTTTTTAAGGTACTTGGAGTCTGGGCATGGAAGTCTCAGTATATGTAGAAGGCTGTACACTCACTGAATCGACATCTAAGACGACTCCATGAAGCCCAAAGGTTTTCAGCATCCCTCGGATGGCAAATTTTGGCAGAGCAGTTCCAACTGTACTGCTGGCTACATTATTGCTGTCTGGAGAGCGGGTTACTACCGTGAGACCTGAGGAGGGTAGATGGAGAAGTTTTTTCAGGAGCAAGTATCATTATCGTGTTGAGACTACAGCATTTCACAATACACTCAGGTTAGTTATAACCAAAAAGGAACACAGCTTGGTCTGGAAGATAATACAACAAAATGTTGTAAGAACTCTCACAATACAACGATAAAAAGACAAGTAAGCCAATTAAAAATGGGCAAAGGATCTGAATAAACATGTCTCCAAAAAGAAATGAAACGATACACGTGAAAAGATGTTCAACATCGTTAGTCAACAGGGAAATGCAAGTCAAAGCCACAATGAGTTGCCCCTTCATATCCACTAGGATAGTCATGATCGGAAAGATGGACAATAGTCAGTGCTGATAAGGATGTGGAGGAACTAGAACCCTCATTCATTGCTGGTGGGAATGTAAAATGGTGTAGCCACTTCGGAATCCCACTCTTATATATGCCCAAGAGAAATGAAAACACACGTCCACAGAAAAACTTAAACGCTAATGTTCAGAGCATTACTCCTAACACCCAAAAGGTAGAAACAACCCAAATGCCCATCGGCTGATGAATGAATAAACAAAATGGGGTATTATCCATATAATGGAATATTGTTTTGCCATAAAAAAAGGAATGAAGTACCAACACATGCTACAGCATGGATGAATCTTGAAAAATCATGCTACATGAAAGGGGCCAGACACAAAAGACCATGTGTTACATGATTCCATTCATATGAAATGTATGGAGTAAGTAAATCCATAGAAACAGAAAGTAGATTAATTGTTGCCAGGGCCTAAAGGGAGGGAGGAATGGGGAGCAGTGAGGGTACAGGATTTCTTCTGGAGGGAAGAAAATGTTCTTGAATTAGAGACAATGGTTTGGTGACTGCACAATTTTGTGAAAATACTAATAATTTCTAAATTGTATACTTTAAAAGGGTGAATTTTATGGCATACGAATTAGACCTCAAAAGAAAAGAAAAAAGAAAAAATATATTCTTTCCCCTTCCCAAGATGGTCAAATATTTTTGTGAAGGTTTAATGAGTGGTTTTAAATTCTTTTTTTGTGTTTTTCTATATTTTCATTTCCTCAAAATATATGATAATTAATCAAAAGAATATACACATTCCGTTCTGGAATCCTAAAAAGCACAATATAACCACATATTCATGGTTTATTAGCTCAGCAGCCAGGCCTGTCTGGAATCTTCCACCTACCCCGCTCTCTCTTTGTCTAACTGTCCTGTCTCATCCTGCTCATGCTAGTGAGTTCTGGAAACATGCAAGAGGACACCAAAGGACAGACAAATGTCTAAGCATTATGGCTTCAAATGGGAGAGCCTGGAAGAGGTCACGTCACTCAGAGTAAGGAGAGTGACCCAGGAGAGCCAGCTGCTGCTTGGCTCAAGGTCATGCTTGGGAAAACTCAACCTCTCATTTCATAGGAAGTTTCACAGGCGAAGTAAGGGGGAAAGCAAAAACCTTTTCGAACTTTATCAATCGTGAACTTGTTTGCTTCGTCTTTGATGTCCTCGATGGTGGGAAGATAGAGGTCTCTTGGGATGCCACCGTTCTCCTCGTACAGGAATTCAACCGTCTGCCGGGCGATGTCCACCATGCCTGAAAGAGAGAACAGCACGGGTAACCTGCCAGAGTACGCGACCTTCACATTGACCATGCCACTGACTCACACCTAGAATGAAGAGATAAGAGAATCTCTCAAACACCGCTGTGGCAGTATGCAGTCTTTTGGAGAGGGTAACTGTGCGCTGTCTACCAAGTTGAAGAGCGTGCAAAGGTACAAGAACACTCCCTGCAGCTCTGCAGGAAAACTGGACAAAAGCCGAAAATAACGAAAGCATTCATCAATGCAGAATGGTCATAAATGATGGTACGTTATTATGCGATCATTTTAGGTAAAGTCAAAAGAACAAATGGTGTGACAAATGGAGAGTAAGAAAAAGTGAAGGAAATGTTTTTTTCCTACCTAATACTCTTTTGTACTGAGTTTGATTTTTACGACAACAAACACATGTTGCTTATTTAACACAGAGAGACATGTCTCTATCCAGTACTGGAACCTGTTGTTCTTCTCGGAATGAGGACACATGGTTCTGTTCGATAGCAATGGCCACTGTTAATTAATAAAGCAGGCAGATAAATGTCCAAAGCCCGGAAGAAAATGGCTCTGTGGGGAGTACAGAGAGATGGGGCACGATGTCTCCATTTGCTGTGGCTGCCTCAGCTCCCACCCCGCTTGGGAAGTTGTGGGTAGAAGAACAGGTGTCGACAGCATCTGCTTTTAAACAAGGCCTATCGCCATCACACTTCTCTACCATTCCATTATTCGCTGGCCTTGCTGTAATAAAAAAGCATAGCAATTTTCTGAGCACAGTTTAGAAGTGGGTGAAAATTCGAGGAGGCTGCTTAGAGAAAGCAGCGTCAGACTGAATAAACAAGGAATGGGGCCTGATGTCAGAAGATGATGGAAAACTGCCACGTTTTCCAGAGGAATGGGGGGCGGGGCAGGAGGAGGGGGCAGAAAACACACTCTGCTCTCACCAAGCAGGAATCCGGGACACGGGGAGAATGTGATACTTAACCACAAATGGCACACAGATGGTCCTTGGGTACCATGAGCCATCTCCCTATTCTGCTTTTGGCCTTTGCCACTGGCTATATGGAAGGGTACTGTATTTTGAAGGTAAATGTTTTATGTTTAAATTAATATAGTTCAGCTGACTGGCCGTGGCCACACGGATGGATCCCAAGAGGTATGTCAGGGGCCACAGGCACCTCCGGATGAGTCATGAGGCCAGGGGCCACTGGTCTGGCTCTGGTTCAGCGGTTGCCTTTGGATAATCAAATTTTCTGCTATGCTGT